ACTGGGTGGGGGAGACGCACGCGAAAACCGCCAGTGAGGCCTTCAGTGGAACTTCCTCTGGGGCCACGAAACGCAGTACTAGGTGGGGGACACGCCGAAAAGCGCCAGTGAGGCCTTCGGTGGATCTCCCTATGGGGCTGCGAAGCGCTGTACTGGGCGGGGGGGACGCACGCGAGCACCGCCTCTGAGGCCTTCAGTGGAGCTCCCTATGGAGCCACGGAGCGCTGTGCTGGGCAGGGGAGACGCATGTGAGCACCGCCACTGGGGCCTTCGGTGGAGCTCCCTATTGGGCCACGAAGCGCTATACTGGACGGGGGGAGCGCATGCGAACACCGCCGCTGAGGCCTTCGGTGGAGCTCCCTATGGGGCGATGAAGCGCTGTACTGGGTGGGGGAGACGCATGCGAACACCGCTACTGGGGCCTTCGGTGGAGCCCCCTCTGGGGCCACAAAACGCTCTACTTGGCGGGGGAGACGAATGCGAACGCAGCCACTGTGAACGCCGCATTTGGGACCTTCGGTGGAGATACTTATGAGGCTACGAAGCGTGTGAAGGGTGTGCCGATATCGGGCTGGAGCCGCATGCGAACGCAGCCACTGGGGCCTTGGGTGGAGCCCCCTCGGGGGCCACAAAACGCTCTACTTGGCGGGGGAGACGAATGCGAACGCAGCCACTGTGAACGCCGCATTTGGGACCTTCGGTGGAGATACTTATGAGGCTACGAAGCGTGTGAAGGGTGTGCCGATATCGGGCTGGAGCCGCATGCGAACGCAGCCACTGGGGCCTTGGGTGGAGCTCCTTATGGGGCCACGAAGGGTGTGAGGGGCGTGCCGAAGTGGGAGTGGAAACGCATGCGAACGCAGCCACTGGGGGGCGTGTCGAGATGGGGGCGGCGGAACAGCATGCGAACGCAACCACTGGGGCCTTCGGTTGAGCTCCTTTGGGGGCCACAGAACATGTGAGAGGGTGTGCAGAAATGAAGGTGGAACCGCATGCGAACGCAGCCAATGGAACTTTCGGTGGAGCTCTCTGCGAGGCCACGAAGCGTATGAAGGATGTGCCGACATGCGGGCGGAAACGCACAGTGCGATCGCAACCACTGGGGCCTTCGGTGGAGCTTCCTATTTGGCCACGTATCGTGTGAAGGGTGTGCCAATATCAAGGGCGGAACCGCATGCGAACGCACCCACTGGGGCCTTCGGTGGAGCTCCTTGTGAGGCCTCGAAACGTGCGAGGGGTGTGCAGAAATCGGGTGGAACCGCATGCGAAGGCAACCACTGGGGCATCTACGAGGCCACGAAGCGGGAAACAAGTGTGTCGAAATGGGGGCGGAACCTCATACGAACGCAGTCACTGGGGCCTTCGGTGGAGCTCCCTAGGGGGCCCCGAAAAGTGTAACGGGTGTGCCGAAATCGGGTGAAACCGCATGCGAACGCAACCGCTGGAGCCTTCGGTGGGGTTACCTATGGGGCCACGCAAGGTGTGAAGGCTGTGCTGGAATGGGGCTGGAACCGCATGCGAACGCAGCCACTGGGGCCTTCGGTGGGGCCCCCATGTGGGGCCACATAACGTGTGAGGGGTGTGCCGAAATGAGGGCGGAACCTCATGCGAACGCAGCCGCTGAGGCCTTCAGTGGAGCTCTCTCTCTCTCTCTCTCTCTCTCTCTCTATGGGTCAACGAAACGTGCGAGGGGTGAGCCGAAATCGGTGATGATGATGTTGATGACGACGGCGGTGCGATGACGTCGATGGAGACGGGGAAGGCATACATGCGGCATAAACAAAGAGGGGGAGGAGGGAGGAGGGGCAGGGGAGGAGAGGAGAGAAGACACGAGACGCGGGGTGTAACTTCAGAACGAGGACCCAACACCACAGGATGGTCGGGAACAAGTTTGAAACAAGTTTGAGAAACTGTTGACAAGTTCGCCCGCATCTGGAAAGGTGCGAAAAAATGGACAACCATGCAAGGAACTTTGAAGAAACGTTTGCCTGGATTTGGACGCAAGAGGCAACATTTGCATACTCTCGTTTTTCGTGGGGAACGGTTCTCTCTGCTATACTCGCTGCTCGAAGCGACTCGGATCCGGGAGTGTTCAAGACGAGGGCTTCGCCTCGCCTTAATTTCAAATGGCACCTTGGAAAAGAGAAGGGTTGGGAGAGCCGAGCTGGCCCGAAAGGGAAGAAAACCAGGCTGGCTGTAGAATGACACGATGAGGATCGATGAAACCGACGCCCCAAATCCTGCTAAGTCATTAATGCGCACGCATCCCCATGACTTACCCTTGTGTTTCGCGCGGGGGGGGTTCTCTCTACTCTACTCGCTGGTCTAAGCGACTCGGATCAGATAGTGATCAAGGCGAGGGGTTCGCCTCGCCTCAATTTCAAATCGCACCCAACTCAAATTCCCCAAACAGAAGCTGTTCTCACACTGTAAGGTACAAGGCCCGAAGGACCGACAAAACAGCAAATCATAGGGCATCCTGAAAACGTTTGGGGACCAACTCTGAGGCGCGAGGCACGGCAGTGTTTTCTCGCTGCCATCGCGGGCCCAAACGCCTGTGCACCTTGGGCCAAGCAGGGCTGTGTCGGCAGACATCGCAGAAACAATAAAACTGGAAACAATAAACTGGGACAACCGCCTTACCGACACATATGGGAAGCGAGGCACTCTTGGCTCAGAGCATGCCATCGGGATGCAACGTCTGCTTGTATGGAAGTAACTCAGTTCACACCAAATGAAAGGCCTAGCCGCTAGCCGCTGCGCATCCGTAATCATGCGAAGAAGTCCTGGGGTTACCTGGTCAGAACTCAAGGAGACGATGCTCGCTCGCCTCAACCTTTCCAGCTCGAATGTCACGCCCGATACCAAACGAGGCAATGAAGGGAATGAGAAGCGGGCTTTGGCAGCACGTGGCCGTGCACCAAGATCTCCACGAACCTCTCCTCGCAACGCCCGGCGCGGGCGCGAAACCACACAGGATGGGCCATCCACATTGAGCTGAATCGAGTTCCCTTCTCGCACCGGAATTCCGATCGGTCGGCTTTCCAGCGGCCGCGCTTCTTCACCTCCGCCAGGGTCCGCTTTCGGGTCGCCATGTCCGTGCTGGCGCCACTGCGGCGGGCCTGGTAAACGACCAGGGTTGAAGCGAAGGTTCCAAGAGACCTCCTGCGCTGAGGCCGCTAGCTGAAGGTAGGTGAACGACCAAACCTTCGCACATTGGGGCATTGACTTGATTGCGGACCAGCGTCGGCACAGGGTACCCCCACCAACGAAGGTCCAACTCGATGCATCTGCGCTACGAGAGTTTTGAACTGGTTCGTGCTTCCACCAAGACACGTCCTAGGCGGGAACGCCATTGCGAGTTCGAGCTGAAGAAGTGCCGACCTCGATTTTCGAGGAAGTCTTGCACGGGGGCGCCATTTCGAAATCGAAGGCCCCGAATTCCATTTCGGGGGAACTCCTGGGCGGGAGCGCCATTTCGAAATCGAACCAGAAAGGCCTTGACTTCTAGGATGGAGGAAGTCTCGGCGGAAGCGCCACTTCGAAATCGAACCCGAAAGTTTCGAACTCGTTCGGAATTTTGTTTTGAAGAAGTTCCAACGAAACCGTCGCTTCGAAATGGCTGCGCCGACCGGCATGACAAATTATCCTGGCGAACGGCACAACCATATGCAGTTGTGGGTACCACAATTGTGAATATCGTCTTCGGTGAAGCTCCCTATGGGGCCACGGAGCGCTGCACTGGGTGGGGGGGGAACGCATGCGGGCAGTAGCACTGGGGCCGTCGGCGGAGCTCCTTATGGGGCCACGGAGCGCTGTACTGGGTGGGTGAAAATGCCAAATTGTGTGTGTGTGTGTGTGTGTTTGTGTGTGTGATTGTGCGTGTGTGGGGGGGGACGCATGCGGGCGGTCCCACTGGGGGCTCTGGTGGAACTCCCGACACGAAGCGTTGTACAGGGTAGGTGAAAATGCCAAACTGCGTGTGGGACGCATGCGGGCGGTCCAACTGGGGGCTCCAGTGGAGCTCCCCATAGGGCCGCGAAGCGCTGTACTGAGTGGGCGAAAATACCAAATTGCGCGTACGCATGAGGGCGGTCCCACTGGGGGCTTCGGTGGAGCTCCCTATGGGGCCACGAAGCGCTGTACTGGGTGGGTGAGAATACCAAATTGGGTGTTCCGGGGCGCATGCGGACGGTGGCACTGGGGGCTTCGGTGGAGCTCCCCAAAAGGCTACAACACGGTGTGCTGGGTGAAAATGTCAAATTGGGTGTTCGGGGACGCATGCACACGGTGGCACGGAGGGCTTGGGTGGAGCTCCCTATGGGGCCACGAAGCGCTGTACTGGGTGGGTGACAATGTCAAATTGGGTGTTGCGGGGACGCATGGGGACGGTGGTTCTGGGAGCTCCAGTGGAGCTCCCTATGAGGCCACAAAACGCAATACTGGGTGGGCGAAAATGCCAAATTGGATGTTACAGGACGCATGCAGACGGTGACACTGAGGGCTTCGGAGGAGCTCCCTATAGGGCCACGAAGCGCTGTACTGGGTGAGTGAAAATGCCGAAGTGGGTGTTCTCAGACGCATGCAGACGGTGGCACTGGGAGCTTCGGTGGAGCTCCCTATGGGGCCACGAAGCGCTGTACTGGGTGGGGGAAAGTGTCAGATTGGGTGTTCTGGGACGCATGCGGACGGTGGCACGGGGGGCTTCGGTGGAGCTCCCCATGTGGCCACGACACGCTGTGCTGGGTGGGTGAAACGCAGGGAGGGAAGAGGAGGGGGGAGGGGGAGGAGGGAGGAAGGAAGGAGCGAACGCGGGGACCGTCTCTTCAAAACGACGACCCAACACCACAGGATGGTTGGGAATTTTGGAAGTTCTCACGAGAGATTGCTACAACGCGGTTTTCGCTTGAGAGTTCCGCAAAAAACTGTTCCGTACGATTTTGACAATTTCGGCTTCGATTTCGGCATCGGGCTCGACTGGATTTCGAAACCATCCGGCTCTAACTCGAAAGGGCAGTTCCGCCCGAGACTTGAGCAGAACAGTGCGTGAGCAGAACATTGCGCTGGGGCCCCGCGGCCGAACGGGGCCTTCTGACGTCTCCTCTCTTTCGCGGGCTCAACGCCATTGTTTGCGTCGTGCTGGGGCCCCGGCGCCATGCGGGAAGCACTGCACTTTGGCAGAACTTCCGCAGCGGCGAAGTAGTGACGTCGAACTCCTCGGCTTTCGAGGGGACCCCCTCGACCTCTGGATTCAGATGGGGAGTCCAATAGGTGGCCACGCGGCTCGGCGCGTGCAGGTGATCCGGTTTCAAGGCCATCAGCTCGATCGGACGGGCGAAGGTGCACCACATCAGGCACAAGAGCAGAGCCACGTCGAAGCGGCCCACCGCGCACAGGCCGCTGATCACCGCACGCCAGATAGGCCAGGCCTCTGGCAGCCATGAGGTCGTCGTGAGGATGTCTCGAGCGGTAGCCTCGTCTGTGAGTGACCTGCGAGGAAACCTCAAGCGAGAGCCCCCTTCCCATGGGGCCCGCGCTTCATGTGGTAGTCCGGGCGGGTCATCGCAACCCATCTACCAGGCATAGCACTTGGGCACCCCAAGGGGGCAAATCGTGAGGATGTCTCGAGCGGTAGCCTCGTCGGTGAGTGAATCGCGAGGAAGTCCCTCCGAAAGCCTCCGGAGGTCACAGGACCCTTAGGGGGCTCCAGGAAGCCACAGGAAGCTTCAAGGAGGTCCCAGGAGGTCCCATGAGGCCGCAGGAGGCTTCAACACCACCACGAAGCCCTGGGAGGCTTCACGAATTCTTCAGGAGGCCACGGGGGGCCCTCGGAGGTCCCAGGAATACCCTGGGCCCCAGGAGGTCCCGGGAGGCCCCAGAAAGCTCCAGGAGGCCCCAGGAGGCTCCAGGGTTCAGTAGGAGGCCCCAGGAGGAGGCAGGAGGCCCCAGGAGGAGGCCGTGGCAGGAGGAGGAGAAGGAGGAGGCCACGCTCCAGGAACTACAGGAGGCTCCAGGGGGCAAAGGGAGGCCCCAGCAGACTCCAGTAGCAGGCAGGATGCTCAAGGGGGATGCATGAGGAGGCCAGAGGAAGAGGCAGGACGAGGAGGAGGAGGAGGAGGATGAGGAGGAGGAGGAGGAGGAGGAGAAGGGAAAGGAGAAGGAGCAGCAAGAGGAGGAGGGGGAGGAGGAGGAGGAGGAGGAGGAGGAGGAGGAGGAGGAGCAAGGGGAGATCCCCAGGCAAGCTAAAGAGATGATCACCATGTGGGGTCTTTACGTCAAAATATTTGTCGTTCGGCAGCGAGTTGCGCAGAGTCCTCGCGGTGGCAGCAGGCACGGCGCCGGGACGAAAGGCGAGAGAGGGAGAGAGCCTACGCGCGTTCCAAAAGTGCTCCCAAAGGGAAGGGGGGAAAAGTCTCGATGGGGCATACTCCTGAGACAGCCTCACTCCAGCCACGAAGATTCCGCACCGGGCCCGGCCATGCCCCGAGGGCCTCGACGCGCCTGCCGTGAAGCCCGCATTGGCGGCGCACGGGGAAGGAGAACACCTTCCCCTCCTGCTGCTGCTGCTGCTGCTGCTGCTGCTGCTGCTGCTGCTGCTGCTGCTGGTCCTCCGCTTGCCCCCCTCCCATCTCCCGCATCCCCGCCTCATGATGCATTGTTCGCTGGCGGCTCTGCAACGCACAGTCCCAGGAGGTTTCCCGGAGAGCCCGACGAGTCCGCCGAACGTATTCTCCGCAGGGGGGGTGGCCAGTGTCGTTTACCTGGCCCCTCTCCCCATACGCATCCCCATACCTCCCGACCTTCGAGGAGGCGCCAGGCGGTCAGCATCGTAACCCCATCCGCCCCACGGCCACGCACATCCCGCACCCTGGTTGCGAGAGGACTCGGTGGCGCCAAAGGTTTGCGGCCCGCGGGGGCCTGCCGACCATGTCGGACGGCGAGGTGTTCGCGCTTCTCGAGCAGCTCTGCAGCCTGGCCCAAAACGACCCGAGGTTCGCGGAGGCCTAGAGCTCGGAGAACGAGACCGAGGCGGAGGCGGCTCCAGAGGCCGCGCTGCCATTTCGGAGCCGCGCGCCCCCTCGCAGGCAGAAGGGCGCCCTCTCGAGGCCGCTGAAATTGCCGACCGTTCCAGAACTCTCCGCGCCTCACCCTGCGGGGGGGCACGCAGCCGCGAGGCCACGGACCGAGGCGCAGTGCGCCCAGGAGGTTTCAAGCCCAGCGCATTCGTGAACGCGCACCGCGAGGTCGACATCCCGCTGGGCGATCTCGACGACCTCCTGGTGGAGCGCATGGGCCGCCGGATTCGTCGCGGGATCTCAGCGCCACGCGGGGTGAAGCTGCTGGCGGGAGTTGTGCACGCCCAGCCGAAGGCGGGCAAGGGCGGGCCCTGCGCCCTGCAGCGGAGCTGGCGGGCTCCGACGGGGTGGCGAAGTGAGGGCGCGGACGCGAACTGCAGACGCAACGGGGTTCGGTGGCGCGCGAGGAGGCCTGTGCCAGAATGCCTACTGAGGCACGGCGAGGCGCAGCTGCAGACGCTGTCGCTTCTTCTTGCAAGGGTTCAGGGTTATTTAAACACCGAGCTGTGCAAGCGGTCGTTCTCGTCGAAACTTAGAAGGTGAGACGGCTCTTGGCAAGGGTCGACTGCGGGCCGCTTCGGGCTCAAATCTCGCCGGCCTTCCAGGCCAGCGGCGGAGAAAGTCTCTGGCGAAGACCTCGGCAAAGCGCCCGACATAGAAAGTCCCGCAGCGGTTTCAAGGGCACGTCGAAAGCCGCAGGTGGCGCGCTTTAACCGAGGGGGGCTGGTGGCTGCGGTTCGCAGGCGAGGCTAACAGGGGCGAGAGGGGGCATCGGCGGGGTTCTTGTCCGATGGAATCCACCGAACGGACAGGTGACTGCTGCAGCGTATGATCAGAATTTTGAAGCTGCAGCAGCGCCAATGGCAAACAGAAAACACGAGCCCGAGGTCGTCGGCGAAAAGCACCCGCCGAATCTTGCGCCCGAAGCTCGCGCGGGCAACGCTTTCCAGGCCGCGCGGGAGGCCGCGCGCCTCGAGCACCGCGATATCCTCGGCGCCGCTGCACTTCCAGCCGCCGATGACTGTCCAAGGCGCCTGTTCGGCTGTGAAGCCAGGCGCCTCAGCGAAGCTAGGGTCGGGCCGCCGGTGGCCCCAAGAGCAATCGACGCCCAATCTGTCGGGCGACCCCGCCTCGGGCTGGCTGGCTGGCGGGGCCGCCGAGGGCAGCGGCCCCAGCGGGCGCGTGGTGCTCGCGGGGGCAGCGGTCTCGCTCGCGGCAGCGGCCATCCGAGGGAACGTCGCCAGTTCGAACCAGCGGGGGCAAATGCCGCACCCCCCACTCAGACGCATCCGCCGGCACATTGAGCGGATTCCAGTCCGACTCCCAAGTCGAGACCAACGACGCCATCAAGCCTGCAAAGACGCGCATCTCGTCGGCCACCGAGGACTAGAGAGAGACAGGCCGGTCGCAGCGCTGCCTGATGAAGGGGCGCACTGCCGAGAACACCGTCAACATCTCTCGGCGCACCAGGTCGCAAAAGGTAGCGCGGCTCATCGCGGCCCCCACCTGGCAGCCAGAGACCCCGGCGGCGGTCTGCCGGGGCATGAGCGCCCGCCGAGAACGCCTTGAGCATCGCGCGCCGACGCTCACCGTCGAGTCAGACCCCCAGCGCCTCGACTCCAGAACCAGACGTGACCGCTTCGCGCACGGCGAGGCCCCTCGCCTCCAAGGCCGCGCAGACGTCGTCTAGATTATCTCGACCGCGAAAGACACCCGCACCTTTCCCCAGGCGGGGCGGCAAGGGGCGGGGGGAACGCGCCGCAGCCGACGGCGGTTGCACAGGTGCAGATGCGACGGTCCAGGGAACGTTAAGACGCTGTCCTCTGGGCATCCGCTGGCACCGCAGGCGCGCGCGTTCCAATCGGCAGAGTGGCCGACCGCGCAGCGGTCGCTCTCGGGCTTGAGTAGCTAGTTCGGAGGTGCGCCCACGTAGGCTCGGCGCGCATAATGCGCCCTGGGTGTCCTGAGCGGGCGCCGCTGCAATCCCGCGCTCGCCCCGAACGGCCGGGGCCCCGAACGCGCGGCGCGTTCGCCAGGGGCGGCTCTCTGGAGGAAAACCTGCCCAGCGTCGCCCCAGCTAGGTCCGGGCACGTGTCGGGGGGCACCGTCGCCGGCGCGCGTTGATGGTGCCCTTGGAGACATGCCCGTACCTAGTCGAGATGGTGCCTGGTCGATATCGCCCTCGGGCGCACGCGCGGCCCCCGAGAGCTCTCCCGAACGCGGCCGCAGCGGCCCCCCGGGGAGCGCGAGATTGCAACGGCGCTCTGGCGGGCAGGCCCACGCGCAACGGAGCGGCGGTGGCCGCCCCCAAATGGGACAGGCACCACCACTCCAATGCTGTACTAAACCCCGCGGACACCCCAGATGCCCCTAGGGCGCCCCTGACTTGAACCAGGGCATGTCGCTGCAATCAAACAACAGGCCATTCAGCGTGTCATCGCGTCTTGACGAGCGGATGCTGAACCACCGCGCACGCGGCAGGCTGATCGGGCGCAGCGGCGTTCGCCCAATCCAGCAGACGGCCCTTTTCACCCGGGCCGACCCCGGGCATGGGTATCTTTAGGACCAATGAGATTGGGCGCCGCGACCCTGCCGTCGGAACCGAGCGCGCCAACGTCGCCAACGTAGACGCAGCCCCGCGCGTCCGAGCCGCGGAGCGTGGGCGCCAAGGGCTGGCCGCGATCGCGAATGAGCTCAGCGCCATCTAAAACCTTGCTGGCCACTTCGATGTCCCGCGCTGGGAACGAGCTCCAAGAAGCCCGTGGGTAAGCGCCGAGGCATCGAAGTTATCCAGTCGTCTGTTCCGACTTCGTCGTCCAAGGTCAGCGCGGCGCCTCCGTCGCCAGCGCGAAACTGAGGCGGGCCATGCCATCCAAGAAGGGATGCCCATTCTATGAGAAGCGCCCCGCGCGTCAGTCGCCCTGCAGAGCAGGGGCGAGCGGCCGCGTCCGTCGGGGGGCCCCGCCTCGATGCGGCCCCAGCCCTCGCCCGCCGAGGTCAACGCGCGGCGGAGGCGCGAGCCGCCGATTGGTCCCCCGTGCATCCAAGATGAGACGGAGCATCCCGCTCTTCTCGCGGCCCGGCAAAAAACCCGTTCGCTCGCGGGCCCAACCGCCAAAGACCGGCACGCCCCTGGCCTCGAGGTCGCGGGGCGCCGGTCCGCTGGCGAGCCGAAGGCCCACGGTGCATCGCTCAACGCCATCATCGCGGGTATCATCTGTCATCTGCACTCGGGCCCAGCGGGCGCCCGCCTGGGCCCGCCGGAAAAGATCGGCCACGGCCCCCCGCCAAGTCCACAGCGCTGGACGGCGGCCCGCCGGAGACCCAACCGCGCCGGCACGGCGCGAGCGCAGTCGACGAGGCGCCCGCCATGTAGCCAGATGTCTTGTCGCAGAGCGCCTCTCGAAGAGCCACTTCCGGCGGCAAGTAAAACTCACGACCGTCGTCGCGCGCTGGAAGCTGCGCCAGGGCCTCGAGGCAAGCCGAGCCCTCGCCCAATCGAAGGGGGGCTTCGCGAGGGGGGCCCCCCGGAGGAAAAGGCGGGGGCCCTAGAGCGACCTCGGGCACCAGGCGGTCGGCGATCTCATTAACCCACGCAGGCCATTCGTGCATCTGAGGCGCCCTCCACCAGCTGTCGCGCGCAATCCCGATCGCGGCAGCGCGCGGCACGTCGGCCACGGGGGGCAGAGACTGGCTCTCATAGAGGCGCGGCCGGCAGGAACTTCTCAGAAATCTCGCTGCGCGCGCAGGCGCCGGAGATTGAGCTGATCGTGCCCACCGAACAGGGTGAAACTCTCAGTGAGAGTGGCCATCCCCTGCAAAACACCATCCGTCTCGCTCCTGCCGCTGCTGCTTGTAATCTCCAGCCACCACCGCCGCGGGCCGCCCCCGTCGCGCTCGGTGCGGCTAGCAAGATGCATAGACCCAGACGGCCCCTGCACCTCGATGGCAATGATGGGCTCCTCCCTGCTCTCCTGCGCGGCCTTCTTCCAGCTCGTAAAACGGTCGCCGACCTCGTCGAAGTCGACCCACACGGGGGCCGGCGTCGTCGCCGCGGGGATCAGGCTCGCCCCCAGCGCGCGCCCGGAGGGCAGCGGCGCCTGCGGGGGCGGCATGCCCTGCACAGCGGGCCATCAGACCGCGCGCGAACTTGACGCAGTCGGAGCAAGGCGTCCGCCGCCGTGACCACGACGATGTCTCTCGCACGTACTGAGACCTCAATGCCCATAGTCGCGGCGCCCTCCGCATTCACGGCGACGAGCAACACGGGCCATCTCGCAAGGCAAGCCGCTCGGCCAGCTCGACTAGGCACGGCGGCACGGCCGAACAAGTGGGCACCACCACCGCGTCATCGCCAGCGAGCGGCAGCGGCTCCACGGGCACTGGGGACATCGGGGTGGCCATGCCGTCCACGGCCGCAAGCGCGCCGACTGCTGCGGGCGGCCCGGCGGCACCGCGGCGTAGCCAGCACCCGCCGCCGCCGAACGGCGCCAGCAGCCCATGGCTGCTCACGAAATTCGTGAAGGCTGGAGGCTCCTGTCGGTGAGCCCGCTTCCGCGCGAAAGCAACATGGGCCTCGCGGCGAATCCGACCGTCCGAGGGGTAGGCGTCACCGGCGAAACTGTAGAACTTACCATGCAGCTGAGGAAGGCGGTTGCCCAAGCAGTCGAGAACGACCAGGCTCTCACCCTCGTCGGCCTCCACGTTGGTATCCTCATCATATAAGCCCCCATCGGGAGTGATCATCTACCACAACACGATATTCCCATCACGATTCTCCAACACAGGGCTCATGACAATATCTTCGATCACTCCAGGAAGCAAGCGACTGCCGGGGCAATTGAGCTCGATCCCCGAAAGAGCAGGCGGTGGCAAGAGGCCGGTCTTCTCGTCACCATCCGAGCCGCTGCCTCCTGCGGTCCAGCATGGCGGCGGCGAAGAGACTCTCAGCGGAAAGGGTCAGAGGCGAGGAAAACGCCAAAAACCGACTGCATGACATCCTGGAACCAGGATGGCTGCAGACAGGCACGATGAGGATCAATGAAACCGACGCCGACAGTCCCGCCAAGTCATTACTGCGCACGCACCTCCGGAACACACTGAAAAATTGGTAAAAGTTCGACGGATTCGGTAGCGTAAAACATGAAGAGGAGTTCGCCTGGATGTGGACGTACATGGTTTGAAAGCAATCGCCTCGACTTGGAGATTTGAAACAAACATGACAACATGTGGAAAGTTCCCCCCGGCATTGAAGTTTGAAACAGTTTGAACAAACTGGGGAATTCGACTCATATTGTCCCCATGCATGTTTCACACTTATATGGTTCTCTGTCTCACACTCGTACTTCCGATTTGCCTTGATTCCACATTTTTGGTACAGCTCGATGGTCCCGCGCCTGGTCATCGGTTTGATTGCTCGGTCTGACATACTTCAAAGCAGGTGGCCTTGCAAGGAGTTGGCCGCGACAGCACGTGGCCTAGAGTCGTAATCTGGTGCTTCGTACCATTTATCCAACCTGGACCTCCCATGTGGCTTTACGAGGAGGAGTGGAGGTGTCGGCGGAGGAGAGAAAGCATGAGGAATACGAGCATGAGGTGCACCACCACGAGGAGGAAGAGGAGGGCGAGGAGGAGGGATGGGAGGCAAGCGGCATGATGGAGCAAGAACTCAACTTGCACGAAGTGGAGCGAAGTTGCGCTGGCGTGCCTTATCCGCCCGGCACGGGCTCGGTCAGCATGCTTGGGCGATGGCGGGAGTCGTCCGCGCTGTCCTTGTCCTTGCCGCCGTGACCGCAAGTAACGCCAAATTCCGTGCTGCCGTAGGTGACGCTATCCTTGCCGCCGATGAACTCCGTGTCGCCGTAGGTGACGCTGGTTTCCCGCTGGACTTCGATCTGCTTCGGCGCCGACCTCCACCACAGAAGGGATGGAAGCGGAGGGGGAAGAACAGGGGGGGATGGAGCAGGTGCAGAGGAGGAGGAGGAGGAGGAGGAGGAGGAGGAGGAGGAGGAAGTGGAGGAGGGGGAAGAGGGAGGGGGGGGAGGAGGAGGGGAAGGAGGAGGGAGAAGAGGAGGAGGAAGAGGAGGAGGGGGAGGAGGGGAGGAGAGGAGGAGAAAGCGGAGGAAGAGGAGGAGAAAGAAGAGGAGGAGGAGGAGAATGAGGAGGAGGAGGAAACCGCGTGCGCCCGCGAGGCTCCCGCGAGGTGCAGGAAAGCCTTCGCGGTGGCGGCCCGCGGGGCGCTCGCCCTCGGCCGCAGGCGACCGCGCCTGCGGAGGCCATGGGCACTCCCAGCACCACATCCTTTCCTCCCGTGCCCCGCTGGGGCCCACGCCTGCACTCAGGGGCAGCGGCAGGGGGGGATAGGCACAGCGGGGGAGGCATCGACCCCATGTCGCCCATGGATCGCTGATAGGGGGCTCGACCTGCCCAGGCAAGTGCGGACTCACTGCGGGGCCCTGTCGCCGATCTAATCGGGCGATGTATCGCCGATTCCGGGTCGATGCATCCCCCCCTATGCCAGTCCCCCCCCCCCCCGGTCGTTACCCCTCATGCATCCACGGCTGCCAGATCGAGGAGCCCGGTCTGGCACAGGCCCCGACGCGAGAGGGCCAGCTTTCGCACACGAGTTCGTGCACTACAACAGCTCAGCAACAACTGGCACGTCACCACAGCGCGCAGCAACCACCGCGACATCGACCTCCAGATCCAACCATGGCGACATCATGGGGGACGACGGCAAATGGATCGGGAACTACGCCACCATCGTGGAGGTCGGCATTACGCCGTCCTCCAAGCAGGGAAACTACTTCACGACCTACATCGGAAAGTGGAGCAGGCCTCGAGCGGTGGAGGAATACCAATTGGACGGACCAGTGAGCCAAGGGCCACCCCGACACCTATTGGAACTAGGCCTACAATGGAAAGGGTAACAACGCCAGTGGCAACGGAAGCGCCACCAAGGGCGACAACGGGCCCGACAACTGGAACCCGAAGGCAAGAACAATAACATCAAGGGCAAGAGGAAGGCAAAGGGCCAACCCGAACATGAGAAGACGCGCAAGAAGAAAGACAGCAACCATGAGTACAATGACCACATCGCCAACACGATCAGCAACGCCATGCGGAATAGGAATGTGTACGCCGCACAAAGACATGACAGGGAGCTGCCACCGAACGACCTCATGCTGAGGGACGGATGGAAGAATATCTAATACATGAAGGCAGAGGCGGGCAGTAACAGCCATTGCAAACAACAGTGCAGCTGGTCTACCCACGGCAGACGCAGTGGCACCGATCGCCTTCACCGAAGCCATGGTCTTTAATAGCATGCCCTTAGCCCAACAGGCAAGGGAGATAGAAACACCAAAGAGGACCATAGAGACCTACGGACACGCCACGGCAGACCAGAAACATGTACATATCTACATAAACGAGCTGGGGGGAGGGCAAGGCCGACAACAGCAACGCCACGGACGACGGCTACAGTGACACAGGCGCTGATGACGACGCTTAAAGACCACAAAAGGACTTACCATAACACAAACGCCGACCTTGTCCCGTGAAAGACAATAAGGGGCGGGGGAAACGACAGACGGGACGAAACACCAGCACCTTGCTCAGGACGATTGAGGAAGACAAACAACGCATGGCCACCAACATCAATAATAACAATACTGCTGCCAACAACGAGACCCACGCCCTGAAGACGCACCTTCGCGCAGCCGAAGACGCCGCCTAGAAACGAGGTAAAAACAGCATGGCGAAACAACAAGAGCTCAGCACTAGTACAAGGACCGGATGAACGATATTACCTCCCTCAAGGAGACAACGGAGAACATGGCGGCACACCACGAGTTCCTGCAGGCAAGGAATGCAGCGGCCCTCAGCAGGACGGATGAGGAGCTAGAGGCCACACATGCCGCCACCGAAAGTGAACCTGAAGAGCAAGAGAAAGCCCTGACCGACCAGCTGCAGAAGGAGCTAAGAAATGCGCGGCAACAGTCATCGACAGCAGCAAGCATCGCGCCAACTGGAGCAACAAGTACAAACATTTGAAAGGATCGCAGCAAATACCATAATTAAGGATAGCACCGCCACCATGGTGATCTACAAGGAAGAGTGCAACAAGTTCCAACAAGCTCAGGACGAACTGAAAAGACAACAGAGCCACATGGAAACAACACTATGCGACGTCCGCCAGGAGCACCCGCTAGAAATGGTCACGGACATAGAGCGCCTGGTCAGAAAACTGGACGCTGAACAAGATCAGAAGCGAAAATGTTACCGACTGACAGTCCTTACTGTCATAACTGCCAAGGAGCAGCAGGCCTACTAAAAGACACTACGAGCAGAGGAGGCACCATTGCAAGTGGTGGTACAGAGGGCCGAGATGGGCACAACAAAACAACGTGACGCATTCCAACATGATATGCGTATCTACTGGCAGAAGAAGATGGACTAGATGATCATGCGGGCAACCCACAAGAAGCACGCAGAGGAAGCTACCAGGGAGTTCCAGCAAGCCCACCATGATGCCGCGATGGCACAGGAGCGCCTCGACAACGTGGAAAATGTCAGCGCGATTGAGCAGGCACTGGCTACACATATTCCCACGGAGGGCGACAAGCCACATCGGTTCCTACCGCCTGTGGACCCGATGACGCCCCACGAGTCGGAAGTACAGCGACTGGGTACAGCGACTGGAGATGACGCCGAAAGCTACCAGCCCGCTGGGGTGATTCATTGGTACACCTAGGAGGGGATCATTGCTGCCACCATCGCCAAAGCTCCCCCCAACCAACGATGTGGAGCTGGTGATTCTGGCGGTTGCTTGTGAAGGTGGGCTCGGCGCCGCTGCCAATTTGGCTGGCCCCGTCCCGTCTCGGCTTGATCCGGCTTCAGTACCGCAGGCGCCGTGAGCCTGATCTTGCGTGGGAGCACCAGTGCTGAAGGCGGGCCGCTGGGCATGGTGGACCGCCGAGGCGAAGTTGCCAGGCGATCCCAAAATCATGTGCCCGGGACGTCGCAGCTGGCCCGTAATGTGCGCGACCTGTGCTGCGTTCGTAGGGTGGGCCATGTTGCAGTGATGCAAGATCATGGCCAGCTCGATGTTCAACACGCCAAATGCACGAAGCAGGAAGAAGCTGAGACCTTCGTGGCCGATCATGAGTTGCCCAACTTGCTGCGCACGCTTGCGTAGGATACCGAACATCGCGAGAAGGTTGACGATGTGCTCCCTTGGCAGTCAGTGAAGTTCATGAGTGCCGATGCTGCCAAAGCGTGCTCCTGCTAGCCCAGTTGACCCCGTCGTCCAGCTAAGCTGTGCATCGGGAAGGTCATCGGTGGCACTGTGTTGCCGTTGATGAGGTCTCCCTGGTCCAGGACACCTGGCGAAACTCGCTGAGGCATGAGTTCGGCACTGACCAGATCACAACCTCGCGCACCCATCTCTGGAAAGGCACTCGAGCTAGCTGCTCGGACCCCCAGGTGCGGAGGTGACGCTTGTTGCCGCTGCTGCCGCCTGCGTCCATGCAAGAGGAGGCAGCTTGTGATGACAATCGTGCCCACTCTGATGGCCTCCCATCTGGAGTGGAGTCTCTCTATGTCTCGGGGAGGTGCTGGAGGCCAGGGCTCCAACAGCGGCGTTGCTCCAGCAAGGAGCTTCTAAGCCGCCGTGGATACTTACGCCGTGTCCTGGATGCTTTTGAAGGTCTTGTTCGCGTCCTGTACGGGTTGTGCACGTTCCCCTCCGCAGGTCCTGAAGGCGTAAGGGCAAATGCCCAGGAGGAGGTCAGGTAGTATTTCACGAGCGCGGTGAACACGGTGGCTGCATGACCGCGGCCCTGAACACGGTGTGGAGGTGGAGCCCTGGCGGTCGACGCGTGGCGAGAACGAGAAGCCATGGCGGTTGTGGAAGCGAGCCCGAGCCCCACTACCAACTAGAAAACCGGATGTAAGAGTTGAATGGCGAAAACGCTGATACTTGTACCTGGACACGGCTGAATAATACGGGCACCAAGCGCGTCTAAGACGGGCAACTGGGGAGCTCCCTTGAGCCAGACGCCAATGCAAGCATCGCCTCAGGCCAGGCAAGGCAGGGGTCAGAAGGCGGGACTACCGTTCGAGTCGGAGAGGGAGGAGGAGGAGGAGGAGGAGAAGGAGGAGGAGGAAGAGGAGAAGGAGGAGGAGGAGGAGGAGAAGGAGGAGGAGGAGGAATGGGAGGAGGAGGAGGCGGAGGAAGAGGAGGAGAAGCGAGAGCGCCCGTGGCTCTCCACAGGAGTCAGGAGCCACGGCTGCAGTCCGCCGCGGGCGCCGCCCGGATCGGTACTGTTTGATGTCGTGGTTTCTTGCTGCTGCGGGCCAAGGCCCCAGTATGACAGGCGGACCGCGCCGGGCCCGCGCGGGGAGCGGGGGCGCCCGAACGCGCCGCGCTGGGAGGCGGCGCGCGCCAGCGCCAAAGGCCGCCGTCGGGGGCGGCTGCACTGGGCCCGGGCGGGGGCGCGTCAAGCTGTGCAGGTGGTGCACCGTGGCCAGCCTCGCCACCGTCATGGGGAGGCCGTCCTCGCCCTGTGGCTCTGCTTCGCAGTCCGCTGTCGAGCCCAAGACGAGGCGGTGAAGCGGGGCGTCGTGGACGAGGGCGCGCGTTTAGCGCGAGATCTGGTCAGCGCCATCTGCGGAGGACCTCCGGCACGGCAGGCGGGGATGTCCCAGGCGCACGCGGTAGAAAGTGGGCCATGCGCGTGCGAAGGTGCGGATGGCCGCCCACCAAGTGCCTGGGGCAGCAACCGCCAGCTGGGCTCTGAGGCGTAGCCACCTGAAGGGGGAGATCGCCAGGTCAGGCCACCAGGTGCGAAGGCATTTGAGGGAGTGTGCCCTGGAAGTCCACGAGGCAGAGGGCATGGGCGACGGCTGCCGCGTGTTCTCGCTGCTCGAGGGGCTTGCGCTCAGAGGCCACGGCCGCGCGCTGCTCGCGGCCTGCTGCAGCACTGGCCGCTTGCAAGGTTTGCCGGCGGCGCCGCTGCAGGCGCGCGCTGGGGGCATTGCCGTGGCGGCATGGACTCCGTCTGCTCCCGAAGCGGTGCGGCCCATCGGCACGATACGACAACGCTGGTGGGATGAACTCCATCGCGCGCACACGCCACGCATCCGCAAAGACCCTCCAGCCCGCGGGCGTGGCGTTGGTTGCGCGCCATGCGGCAATTCAGGCAGCAGGTTGCAGAGCAGCGAGCGCAGGGCCGGGCGCCCACGTGGCTATGCTGGTCAGGTCGACCAGCGCAACGTCCTGACACAAGTGCTGGAGTTGAGCACGCGCGCGCATCATACACTGACGCGTGTCTGCTCGTCCTCCGCGCTGCCGCCCGAGCATGCTGGCGCGAGGACAAACAAGCGCGCTCAGCGTGCTGGTGAATTCAACGCCGGTGCTGACGGCCTTCTTCGCGTCCTCCGAGGTCGGCGTCATCCTGCTGACCCTGCCAGCTCCTTGCCCGCAATCCGTGCAGCGGGCTCCTCCGTGCTTGCACGGGACAGCCAGACCGCGCTGACGAACGCCTCCGCCGCCCGGCAGCCTGGCGCACAGGCCTGCGGCGCGTTCTGGAGATGCAGGGCCGCCCGAGCTGCCCAGAAAGCTCAGCTATGGCGCCCGTTCCTGAGCGTCCAGATCTTGGCAGGAATTCTCCAGCAAGCGACCCGCGCAGCAAATCCTTGGCACGCTGATGCGGATGCAGCCCCGCAGCCTGAGCACCCTGCGATGGAGGGTGGCGAGGAGAGGAGGCAGAGGAGGGAGGGGAGAGTGGTAAGGAGGATCGGAGGGGGAGCGGGAGGAGGAAGAGGAGGAGGAGGAGCGCACGTAACCGAAGGAAGAGGAGGAGGAGAAGGAGGAGGAGGAGGAGGAAGAAAAGGAATAATGCCTCCCGTGCCGCGGGAAGTGGTGGATGATCAGCATGCAGATGGCGGTCCCGAGGCAACAAAATGCGTTGGCGACCATGAGCTCTTGCTGGTGCTGGTAGTTGTGCGCGAGGAGGCCGCCGAGCAGGAAACCGAGGGAACCGCCCGCCTCTCTCGCGCGAAGGTGGTTACGTGTGTTTTCGCTCCAACCGCAGTGATGAGTAGAACCCTCATAATAGGCACCCCGACGAACGAAACAAATTTCTCAACGCGTCGGACAAACGGAACCGAAAAAAAAGGTCGGGCTGTGCAGTAAACACCTAAGACGATTCACTAAACGCAGCGTATGGGGTGTCGGGATAATGTGTCCACCCTTCAACTAGAAGGAGAAGCGATAGCATACTAAGAGCGTGACGGGGAGTATGGTGGCGTTGATCGAACTCAACGATGGGCCCCGTACAGTGTGCTATGGCATAATACGTGGTGCAATCTATGCGGCGCCTTTACTTTCGAAGAACTTGGAATTGCCAACCCAACTGCTCGCACAATCATCCCACCCACCCACCCGCAATTGAATTTACAACACCCATGCGGCGGCGATTGCGGTGACTGCTTGGCGCTGGCTAGCGCATCTTTGGGGCTGCGCTGGCGCGCGCAAGCTCGAGCGCAGAGCGGCTAGCTAGTCTGGCACAACCGACGCGGGCGCGGCGGCGCTGACCGATGGGGACTTCCAAACGAGTCTCACAGGCCGCGCTGGCGCGCGGGTGACTCGGGCGGGCGCGGTGTCATCTTGACGTCGGCAACAGCGGAAACGATGACGATATCAACAATGCTGGCGGTGATGATGGCAATGACGAAAGCGTAGCCAATGACGGTGCCGATGCTGGTCACGCTGGTGCAGATTCAAGAGGGTGATGATGATGCCCACGCCATCAACGCGCGGCCGACGAGCGCGAGTGGCCCGCATGGAATCATTCGACAAGGATGCGCGAGCGAGGGCCCGCGTGTTTCCATTTGACGAGAAATTAAATCACTTATGGTACTCATACGAGCTCACAAGAGCCCGCGCAGCGTGTTGGAAAAGTAATGTTGCAAACCCTCCGCTCTTTCTTATAGATTCCGGGGACCTCGATATGGCAATCCTAATGAAGCCAACAATTGCGCGCAACGACGCACGCGTTTTCCCCAACCACCTATGGTGTTCGGACTCGGACTCGGACCCGCTCTACACAGGCGGACAGCTGACCCCAATGAAGGGGAGAGCGGTGCGCTGCCGAAGCGCGGGCGGACCCGCCCTGAGCAGCGATGGCATGGAAAAACATACAATTTCACTCAGAGGCCCACGTAGCACTTCTCCATATCATCCCACATCTGATGATCAGAGGCGTAGGCCTTCCAATCTGCGCCCGGTTCAGTATAAGACAAACGTCCGTATAACCATCTTCCCATCTTCGAGGGGGCCTCCCCGTGCGTTCCCTCCTCGCATATGTGCGCCCCGGCTCCCGGAAAATAACTGCGTAAGACCATTTATGTTGTTCAGATTGCAACAGCTTTCCGGCGCGATGCCATTTGCGACTCTTGCATTGTGTCCTCCAGTCCGACACGCCCAGCGCGTCCAGCTGCTGCTCGATGTTCCGCGCCGTCCTCTGCAACCAATCTGCCCAAGATTCAACGTGATACTCCTCCTCGTCCTCCTCCACCTCGTCCTCAACATTGTCACTAGAAGAAGAAATCAAACTAGCTGGAACCGGCGACGTCGACCTGGCAGGAGAAGTGGCTGGGATCCGGCGCCTGCCACACCCAATCACCAGTCGTAGCATCTGGCGTTGCGTCTTGATTAATACCGGGTCTAAGTCTGCCGTGAGCGTCCAGCACGACGAACCATACAGTGCGCATGGAATTATAGCGGATTCGACAAGGCGCACCCTAGTATTGACTGGATACTTGTTGTTCGTCAGCTCGTCTTTCAACGCGTAAAACTTCCTCCAAGCACAGTGCATCCGGTTGTCTAACTCCGCCTTGTGTGCGCCCTGGAACGAATTCTTCTGCCCTAGATATTTTGCAGAATCTGCTCTTTTAAATAATTCGATGTCCATTCCTCATACTGAGATACCTTGCTGTGCAGATTCGCCTCTCCTCGTCCGCAAGTTGGTCAAGATTTTCGTTTTGCCCTGGTGAAGAGATAAAGCATGCGCACTGCAAGCCGCCGCCACGTCCCCAAGCATCACCTTCAACCCCGCCAGCGTGTTGCTCACTAACATGACGTCGTCTGCGAAGCGTAGATTTGTCAACAGCCGGTCCCCCAGCAGGAAGCCACAAGAATTGGCCAGCCACCGATATTTGAGTGGCTCGAATATGTACTTAATGGCAGCATTAAAAAGAGTCGGACTAAGTGGGTCCCCTTGCTTCATCCCCCGGCGGATTGAGAATTCCCTGCTTGTCTTGTCCAAAGAAACGACGCCAGCTTGATCGGAATACAATTTCTGCAACAAGGAAATGTAAGAAATGTGAACACCTTGCTCCTGCAGCGCAGCCCACATACTATCGTGGGAAATGCGATCGAATGCCTTTTTGAAGTCCAGCGTGGCTGCCTAAATTTGCTGCCCCCATTCGTCACATTTCTCTTGCAATAAAACAAGTGCTAATAGATGATCGTCCGTGTTGTACTCCGCCCGGAACCCGGCCTGGTCTTCGCATTGCGCTTTGTCCAAAACTGCTAGGAGACGTCGTCTGATTAGCCGGCTGAACAATTTGTGTAGCAGCGGGATGATCGTGATAGGACGGTGGTTGGACGGCAACTTTGCGTCGCCGCCTTTGAACAATACTGTAATGAAGGATTTCTTCCAGCTCTCCGGCGTGGTAGCCCCTGGCTTGACAATATCGTTGAAGAGAAGCACGATCAGATCTATAAAAACTTGACCACCATCCTTGAACATATCGCTGGAGATGCCCGCCCGGTCAGCCGCTTTACCCCGCTTTAGAGCTTTGATTTCTTCCTGTACTTCATCGGGTGTGACAGGAGGAATGTCGCCATCCTGTCCAGCTGCTCCAGCCGCTGGGGGACCTATGGCTCGGTACAAATCTTCGTAACATTCAGCAAATACGTCCGCGATGCCCTGCCTATCTGAATGCATCCGCCCCTGCTTGTCCACAGCTGCTGGGATGAAAGACTTGTTCCTCATTGTTTTCATTCGGGGTATAGTCTTGATCCCCTTGAACTGTCCCAGCAAAACTCCAATTCGGCGTCGGCTCTCCTGCCTCCGGCCCCGCTGGATCTCCCTGCGTATGCTCTTGCTGATGTCGGCCCGCTCCGAAAATCGATCTGGTGGCAACGATTTTCTTTGAGAAATGAGATGCTGTATTTTGTCTGCCTTTCCCCTTGGTTTCTGATTGAGCTGCTTCTCCTCCTTTATCGATGGCTCCGCAGCCTCCGTGTTGAGCACGCCCTCTATCTTGTCGCTCATTGAATTCGCCTGCCCGCTTGAAAAACATACCTCCGACATTCGTGCCGTTACCTTCTCTTTGAACAAGCCTTTGTTGTATGCGCTGGCGCGTTTCCTGGTCCGAGCCGTACTCTTTGCGCCGATCTCCCGATCAAGATCCAAATATGAAGTAAAGCAGAACTTTGCCCGCACTGCCCTGTGATCAGATCCCATATCCAAGCAAACAGTTGATTGTGCAATGGTGTTGGGCCCTCGTTTTGCAATGCAGCGCCCCGCGTTCCCGCTCCTCCTTCTCCCCCTCCTCCCTCCTCCCATCCCTGCCTCTGTTCTCCACTCCAGCCAACCATTTTGGCACACCTCTCACACTTGTCGTGGCCCCACAGGGAGCTCCACCCAAGGCCCCAAACGCTGCGCTGGCATGCGCCCGCCGCACCGATCTCGGCACATCCCTCACACGCTTCGTGGCCCTATAGAGAGCTCCACCGAAGGCCCCAATGGCTGCGCTCGCATGCGCCCGCCGTAACGATCTCGGCACACCCCTCACACGCTTCCTGGCCCTATAGAGAGCTCCACCGAAGGCCCCCGTGGCTGCGCTTGCATGCGCCCACCGCACCTATTTCGGCGCATCCTCACACGTTTCGTCGCCCCATGGAAAGCTCCACCGAAGGCCCTAGTGGCTGCGCTCGCATGCGCCCGCCGCGAAAATTTCGGCACATCCCTCGCACGCTTCGTGGCCCCATAGGGAACTCCACCGAAGGCCCCGGTGGTTGCGCTCGCGTGCGTCGCCGCACCCATGTCGGCACTCCCCTCAAATGTTTCGTGCCTCCAACCCCCCACACATATTCTGTGCGGTCCAGAACCCGGATAGCAGGGCCCAAAGGGCGTGGAAAGACCTGCCGAAGAACTCTGGAATGACCTGTAGAGAGCTTCCGAATGACCTTCTGGAGAGCTTCGGAGTACGCGTATGGGGAAACGCTTGAAAAAAGCCTCTCGGTACACGCTGCAATCTCAAGCAAGCCGCGCCGAGGTGTCCTGCCCGCCACCGAAACGATCTCCGAGGCTACCCTGCGGCTCCGGCTTCTTAATCTGAAACCCTCTTAGCTCTTAGCTCTCTGCGAGCTATCCGGGCACAAGCACACACACACACACACACACACGCAGTGTTTGACATCGCGGCCACGCGTGTAGCGGCGCGGCGTAGTGCAAGTCAAGCGAAAGCGAGACGCGCACAGGCCAACCCGGGCACAAACGTGCACACCAGCCAACACGGAGCGGCTGGTGTAAAGAGAGGGCAATGCCCAGATCGCTGACGATATGATGCGGTCTACCCGGGTGTTGTTCCTCGACTTTGGCCTCCTGGGCCCAGCTTTTGCCCCTAATCCAAAATTGATCCAGGGCGGAAAACTGGTCCTGGGGAAGTGGTTTGGGATCCTCTGGGGCCGTGGCTTTCTATCACGACAACAGCATCAACAACAGCACACACACACACACATCAGCGACAACATCAATAACAGCGACAACAACACCATCTACTACTACTATTATTACTACGACTACTACTACACCAACTACTACTACTACTACTACTACTACTACTACTACTACTAATAATAATAATACTACGACGACGACGACGACGACGACGACGACGACGACGACGACGACGACGACGACGACGACTACTACTACTACTATTACTACACCATCAAACAAAACAGCATTAACAACAAAAACAACAGCAACAGCAGCAACACCAACAACAACAGCATCGCATCAACAACAACAGCAGCAGTCGCACCAGCAACAGCAGCAACAACACCAACCACAACCACAACAGCAGCAGCAACACCAACAGCAACGACGACACCAACCACAAAACTATCAGCAACAACACCAGCAACAGTATCACCAACCGACAACACCAACAACACCAACAGCAGCAGCACCAATAACAGCAGCAGCAACAACGCTAGCACGAACAACACCACCAACAACAACCCTAACAACAACAATACCAACAACAATACCAACAACAACAACAACAACACCGTCAGATGTCTTGGGCACAGGCTGCGTCCTGCCGGTGGAGCCGAACATCGATCCAGGGGAAGAGTTGGGAGCGGGCGGAGAAAAAGGAGCAGGAGCAGAAGGAGGGCGCAGGAGGCTAAAAGGCCTCCCACATCGTGTTCCAGATGCCGTTGACCGCGTCCTGGTATAGGAACGAACAATGATACCGCTGCCGCCCCTCCCCAGACCTGTCCAGGGGTGTGTCTGGTCAGAGGCCTCCCAAATGGTGTCCGAGCAGATGGGGTCGGAGGATCCCGCCGATGCATCGCCGATGCATCGGAAACGGCGGCGATGCATCAGCGACGTCGGCGTGGAGAACATCGGACTCCACATCGAGCCGCATCGCAGCTGCATCGGCGATGCTGTGCGGTTCTGCGACCGAGCTGCCCTAAACGTCGCCGAGGTGTTTTTGTTTTTACCCGCGGCCCCGAAGACCTCGACCGCTTCCCCAGGAGTGCACGGGATTTCGTGAGAAAGGGGGGGTCACCTTTGGGGGGATATGATTTGAGTTGTCTTGGTGAGCGGTTTCGTATTCAGCGCTTTGACATTGGGAGGCACGGGGGGGAGGAGGGGGGGGAGGTCTGGCTCCAGACCTCCGCTTAGCGGCTGTTTGCGACAGTGACAGTGCGTCGCATGGGAGGGACTCCACCTGCTCGAAACAGGCGCCAAAAACAGCCGAGAGGTACTCCACGGGGGGGGAAGGGGGGTGCGAGGGCCCGCGCCGAGCGGCAAAACAACGAATTAAAAATGGCCACTTGGAGGGCTCCAGTGGGGTCTGGGCAAAAGGCCGACCTTTATGGCTGGTCGGCGGGAGGGGGGGGTCTAAAATTGCTCGTCTGGGAGCGGTGTGATCCCCTCCCTTTTAATACGAAATCTGGAGCACGCTTTCGCCCCGGATCCATGTTCGATGGTACCGGGGCCAGATACGAGACCCCCGCGGGGCCGAAATCGAGGACGCCTGCATGGAGCGAAGGCAGCTCGCGGGAGTCTTGGGCCCTCGGGACCCATCTCGGGAGGCCTCGGCCGGTACCTTTCCCTGCTCTGGGTCCTTGGCCTTGCCCTCCTCTAGTCGGGAGCGGCCCAGAGGGGGGTGTCCAAGAGGGGGGGTGCAAATCATGACCGGCGGCATATGCGCGGCCCAGCGGGGGAGGCAGGGACGCAATGAAATAAGAAGAGGCGCCATGAAACCTGGGGAAATATCATGGCCCCCGCCATGATATCCCCCCCCCCTAGGCGTCACCCCCCTCTCTGCCGCCCCCGATCTAGGAGAACGGAGGATGACATAAACACAAAACAGCTCGGAGGTCCGCGCGGTCTCCGATCGGCGGTGGGCCCCCCTAGTTGGCGGCGCCGATGGGCGCCGCCAGGGAGGGGGGTCCAGCGCGGATGCGAGAAATCCGCGCGGGCATCCGAGCGTTCTATGTTCATGCCGTCCTTCGTTCCCCTCATCCTCGTGCTCGATGGCGTCGGCGAGCAGGAGGGCCGACGGGGTGTGGGTGAGCCCCAGGCAGATGCCATAGAAGGTCAGCGCGGCGTAGAGCACGATGAGCCGCTGGTCCTCCGGGAACTCGTAGGAGGCGACCACCAGCACGCTACGATCGGCGGGGGGCTGGCCAAGACAATGGCGGGCCCTCCCTCCACGAGCGACGACGACGACGACGACGACGACGACGACGACGACGACGACGACGACGACGACGACGACGACGACGACTACTCAGGAGTGGTCTGGGCACCGAGGAGCGGTCCCATGGATTCGCCATCTCAATGGGTACGCCCTGCCAGGGGGCATGGGCGCAAAGCCGCAGCACTGCAGGGGGGCCGCGGGCGGGGAGCCCTGCCAGCGAGGCCGTGGACACGAATGTGTGTGTGTGTGTGTGTGTGTGTGTGTGTGTGTGTCTGTGTGTGTGTTTCCCACCCGCGATCCCTGGCGTGCCCGCCCCCGTTCTTGTTTGGGCCTCCTGGAAGCCTGTCGTCGCCGCGCGGCTGGATGGCGCCTCGACGGACGTGTCAGGATTGTCGGGTGGGTGGTAATGGGGGGAGGGACCTGACTTGGGGGGTGGAGCAGAGGGCCCTACTAAAGTCGGGCAATTTGGGTGGTGATGGGTGGCACTGGGGTGATCTGAATTGAAATGAGTCTTGGGTGGTCATGGGGGGTGACCTGGATCGACCTGATAATGGGTGGTAATATGGGGGGGACCTGACTTGGGGGGTAAAGAAGATGAGCAGGGGCCCCTCGGGGCCCCTTCGTGAGCCAGCAGGGGCCCCAGAGGGGACCTATAGAGTTATGTTGCTCCCATCCGACTTGAGGACCACATCCCAGAAATAGTTTCGAGCACCTGGAAAGGTGTCGAACGAGTGTCGAGAGAGTGTCGAACAGTGTCGGACGAGTGTCTCCCAGGGCCCGACACGTGAAAATCCTCCAGTTTCGGCACCCTTTCCTGATGCTCGAAATTGTTTCTGGTGGTCAAAGCCAAAGTAGGTTGGATCATCATAACTATAGAGGGCCCCTTTGTGAGCCAATGGAGGCCCAAAAGAGGCCGTAAAGGGCGCCTTCAGGGCACGTCTCATTCCCCAATCGGTGCTGGCACCGAAGGGGCCCTGGCGCAAATCGAAAGGTTTGGCGAAAATGTGCCGCCGATTTTGGTGGCCAACTGGGTTCCCGGGTTCTCGCTTCTGGGTTCCCAGGTTCCTGGTCATTGGTTCCGGTCCGAGTTCGGTGGGTTCCGGGCTCCCAGGCTCCCGGGTTCCCGGTCGATCTCCTTATCGATCCTTGTATCGGTTTCATTTCAAACCATCCACCGGTTGGGGTTCTTTCTGTGGTATAGGTCGCCCTCCATTAGCACTCGCCCGAAACGGGTCAGGATGGACCCCGGGAGGGGTCCGGGTCTGGGGACCGACTTTGAGCGGATTTGAGCTGGGCGGGAGAGCCGCCGTTGTCTGAACTGGCCCTCCTCCGAGATAAGCCGATATGCCCAATGCGGTAAGCCAGGCCGCAACGAAGGCAATTTTGTATTCGTGAATCGCTTCCCAGGCGCGGCCAACAGCGGATGCTGATACGATATAGGCCAGGGCGATGACCAAGAAGAGCTGGCCAATCATCATCGGATCGAAACCCCAACGGTGATCTGCATGGAAAGGTAGAATCTCCTCGACAGATCCCTTCACAACTGCTGACATGACAATCAGGAGCACCGCCAATGTCATGCGCTTGCTCTGGAGCAACTTCTTGAGCCGTCTCCAGCCTGTCTGAAGGTGGAACGGCGTAGGTGCCTTTACGCTGCTGCCAGGTGTCCTGTGGATGGCTGAACGTTGAAGGCGGGTGGGGCGTCTGAACTGGTTCGGACCCCAGACAATCGGCCAGGAGACGGGATAAGGCCGAATCCGATCGAGAGCGATCCCCGGACCCCTCCCGGGCGGGGTCCATCTGGTGCAGCTTTTCATCCTGGATCTGTCGGTCACGGCCCCGGGAACCGAAAACGGCAACAAGAGCCTCTCCGAAACCAGCACCTCGAACCTGCCCACCCTTCTGGCCAGGACCAGTGCTGGGCCACCTCAGACTGGGGAGCTGGGCGTTCCGGTTGTCCGCCTGGTGGGCGCTGGGTGGCCGGCATTCCCACGCTCGTGCGATGCAGCGCGCGAGCAAGGTGGCCGAGCGTCGACCTTGCGGGGCGGCGAGGGCGAGCAGGGCGGCTGAGAACATCCTGGAGCGGTCTTCCTCGCCCCTGCAGCGGCGGCGTCTTCAGTTCTGCCACTGCAGACGGCGTCACAAGAGGGGCACTGAGGGGCAGAATCCGCTCGAAGAGGGAGTGAGAAACATGGAGAGGGAAAGCGTTAAGTCGGGCCTGTCTCCCTGCAGGGGGATTTTCGACGAAAATTGAAAAATAGTCAAAACATACCCCCAAATGGCCGAAAAATGCTCCAAAAATAGCCCCCTGACTGTTTTTTGACTATTTTTGGATATCCCTCCTGTAATTAGAGGGGCAGGCCCGACTTAAGCCAAGGTCCCTGCCTTTTCCGACCTCCCCTGCCGGCCCGAAACCAAGTGTTTCGGCCGCCAGGTCCTGGCCACGGGCGAGCGCTCGGACGCCGTCAGGCTCACGGTGACGAACAGCAGCAGCACCTGGTTGCCAAGCGAGGCGGCGGCGAGGAAGACGAACACGGAGCGCTGCCCGAAGTGGTGGAATACCCACGCGCCCATGGACGAGCCGAGTACCTCCGCGATGTTCAGGGCGATGGACGCGGCAGTCATGGCGAACACCTGCTGGTTGCCCTCGAACAGCTCCACGTTCAGGAGGAACGCGTAAAAGAAGATGAAGGAGCCAGCGAAGCCCTGGATGAACCGGCACGACGTATGCATCATCAGGTGTGGGCTCATGGCCTGAAAGGCGAGCGTTATGGTGCCAAATCCAAGCCCGATCAGCAGAAAGACAATCCATCGCCGAGCGCTTTTCAGGCTGGTCATTGACTCGTGGCCTTCACCTTGCATCAGAAGATATATCTGGTACGAGGTGATCAGAAAGCAGCCCAAGAATCCAGTCCAGTAGTAAACGCCGACGGCCGTTGCGATTTCGAATGTGGCATGACCTCTGTCCTCCAGCACAGACGGAAGGAACGCCAGGGGCATACTGTACTGGAGAATATCAACAGTGATGCACAATGATATCGAGATCGCGATGAAAAGACACCGTGGCCAAGAATGCTTTCGATCAACTGGCATTTGCTCTTCATCCTCAGCCTCGCATATGCACCCGCAAAAACTCGCTTCCATTAGTGAATACCTACGTCCTTGTCACGCTATGCGGACTACATGGGCTTCGTTACGCCTGAGATCCTAAAGAGCCCTTCATGAGCCGCGAAGGCTAGGCATAATGACGACGCGGACGGTCATGATGATGAAAGCCCTTTCTGCTAATTCCGCTGCAGATGCAACTGCACCAGTACCTGCCCTCTGGGCCATACATACGAGGAGCCAAAAGACAGCTGACCCTGGCCTGCTGCAGTACTCCGAGGGCCAAGGCCAGCAACAAGGAGTAAGCAACCCTACGCTGACAGATTGGGAGAGGAGCGCACTGTTAGGTCGGGGATGTCCTCCTGCAGGCAGATCTTCGACGAAAGCATAAAAAAAACAGATCCCGAAAATGCGACAGCGATCAGCAAAACGAACGAATCGTCCCCAGAATAAGTTTTGACTATTTGGGAATATTCCTCCTGTAGAGGGGCCCGCCTGCACGGTTTCCCGCGGGGCCGTAGGCGACCCGAGGAGGAGGAGGAGGAAGAGAAGGAGGAGGAGGAAGAGGAGGACGAGGAGGAGGAGAAGGAGGTAGAGGAGGGGGAGGGGGAGCAGGAGATGGAGGAGGAGGAGGCCGAGGAGGAGGAGGAGAAGGAGGAGGAGAAGGAAGAGGAGAATGACGAGTAGGAGGAGAAGGAGGTAGAGGAGGGGGAGGGGGAGCAGGAGATGGAGGAAAAGGAGGAGGCGGAGGAGGAGGAGGAGGAGGGGGGTAGGAGGAGGAGGAGGAGGAGAAGGAGGAGGGGGAGGAGGAGGAGGGATGAGGATGATGATGATGGGGAGGAGGAGGGAGGAGGAGGAGGGATGAGGAGGAGAAGGAGGAGGAGGAAGAAAGAGGGCGGGTCGCCATACGCCCTTCGGAGAACCCCCCCAGACACGCCCGACCCAAGCGTACAGCTCCCTCCCCGAGGGCCGGCCGCGAACCTCAGCCGGCCCTCAGCGTGCCCAGGCAGACCCTGGACGGCGTCGGGCGGAAGCAAGCGCGCCATGCCATGCAGACGGCCGCACGGGCGCATCGGAGAGGCCGACGGTCCTCGGAGCGCGTTAGCGCCAAGGTTAGGTCGGGCATGTCCCCGCGCAGGCGGATGCGGAGCGAAAGATCAGAGAACAGCTAGAACAAAATACCCCCGAGTAATCAAAGATAGTAGAAACATTACCGCCCGACGGCTTTTGCCAGCGTGTACTTGATTGGCCGCCGAACCGTGGGTGGACCAACAGTGTCCACGCGTGTCTCGCCAAGACCTCGAGTCATCAAGGCACGTCGGGCCAGGATGTATACCCCCGTTCCCCCGTGTCTCGGCGGGAGGCCACAGGCCAGGGACAGAATTTGGACACTTCAACTTTGGTTTCGGGGGGGGGGTGCGAAGCAATGGCAATTCGCAGTTGTGGTGGTCATCCCTTACCGCCGACACTTATTGTCCGGGCACCGAAGCACGTCCATGCAACGCAGGCGGCGTCACGAGGGCTGCGCTGTGCGTGCTGCCAGAGGAACTGAGCGGGGTGAGCGCACTGCGCGCGCGCGGGCATCACCTCTCGACGGCGGCGCCGCTCGCGGGGGGCGACGGCGGGGAACACGAGGGCTCGGGGGGCCCTCTAGGGCCCCAGGTGTGACCGAAGCGGCGAGCGCGGCAGCTCCCATGGCATGCAGGTCGACCGATGTGTCGCTGCGCGCCCGCAGACGGGGCACGCACACGATCCGAGGAACGTCAGATGGGAGGGCAGGGCCCCGCGCACTGCGCCGGCAGCGGCCCTCCTCGGCGCGGAAGCCTCCCCGGTGCCCAGAAGATGCCGCCCAAGAGAAGCCCCAGGATGCCGAAGACGCGCCGAATGTGCCCATACCCCCACCTCCTGTCAAAAATGGCAGGTCATGACGATCGGTTCTTGCCATTTGTCGACCTCCTGGGGCCCTCGCCAGGCCCTGGGACCGTCAACAAAAATGACAGCGGTTCATCCCGAGTCCTTTCTTCTTAGCGGCTCCAGGGCCAGGTGAGGGCCACCCTGGAAGCCGAGCGTGGACAGAGGCATGCTGCCGTGATTTTCTCTACCATAAGCGAGGAGTTCTGGGACGGATGGAGGGTTCGGGATGGGCGACCCTAGGCTGGAGAAGTAACACATAGCATTAACATTAGGTTGGGCATGCCACCCTACTGGCGGATTTTGAACGCACAATTTAAGATGCTCAAACAATACACCAACAAGCATCAAACAGACTAGAGAAATCATCCCCAGACTATGTTTTCAATATGTTTTGATATTCCTCCTGTAGAGGGACACACCCGACTTACAGATAGCATCAGCATAGACTTTCAGAGCTCCGCGCGGACTTCTTGGATCGGCGCTGGACCCCCCGCCCCTGTCGTGCGGACCGCGCCCGGATGGGGGGGGGGCAACGCGGATTCGAAAGACCCGCGCGGGCATCCGAAAGCTTGTGCTCATGTTGATCTTTGTTTTTCGGTGGACGCTTCCCCTCTGGGGTTAGGTCGGGCATGTCCCCCTACAGGCGAATTTGGGCGATCATTGGAAAATGGCCCAAGCATGCAGCAGCGCAGCCAAAAAATAGTCGAAACATCGTCCCAGGATTATTTTTGGACTGTTTCTGCAGATTCCTCCTGTGGAGAGACATGCCCGACTCAACCCCTGGGCCCTCTGCTAGGGAAGCGACAAATGACATAAACATAAAAACTCGGAGGTCCGCGCAGATTCTTTGGAACCGCGCTGGAGCCCCCTCCCCTGGCGCGCAGAGCGCGCCAGGGGCGGTGTCGGAGGCGCCGCCAAGAGGCCCCCGGCGCCGATCCGAGAAATCCGCGCGGACCTGTGAGTTACGCATTCTGTGCATGCCAGTGTCGGGAGCGGCCAAGAGGGGGGTGTCCAAGAGGGGGGGTGCAAATCATGGCCGGCGGCACGTGCGCTGCACAGGGGGGGGGACCAGGGACGTAATGAAATAAGAAGAGGCGCCATGAAACCTGGAAAAATATCATGGCCCACGCCGTGATATCCACCCCCCCCTAGACCTCACCCCCCTATTTGCCGGCCCCGACCATTGCTCGTCCCCCACTGCTCGTCCCCCTTATCCGTAAGTCGGGCCTGTCCCCCTGCCAGGGGGATTTTGGAGGAAGACTTAAACGCACCCCAGACATGCTCCAGAAATGCTCGAAAATACGAAACAAAAATAATCCCCAGACTATTTTGTTGACGATTTCTTTGAATCTCTCCCCCCTGCCGAGGCCCGGGCCCGACGAGACCTTCCCCACGGGCCGCCGGGCTGCCCGAGGCCTCGCGCGCCGCGCCCCGCGGCGCGCGCGCCCCGTGCGCGCGCCCCGTCGTGGCCCCGCCGCGCCCCCGCGGTGCCCCGCCCCCGCGGCGCGGGGGGCTCCGCGGGCCCCGGCCGCGGCCGCGGCGAAGCGCGGTGGCCCCTGGCGTTGATAGGTCGGGCACGGCCTCCCACGGGCGGAGTGCGGGAGGGGAGCTGACACAGAGAGTGGGAAGATGTGCCAGAAGTCGTCCAAAAGTAGTGGGGAGTCGTTCTCCGAGGATCTTGTTTGCTCTTGTCGAGCATTCCTCCCGCAGAGGGACATGCCCGACTTAACCCTGGCGCCCCTTCTCAGACTCCGGCGGCAACTCATGGGGGCCTCCCCCTCCATACCATCTCGCTGGCTCCTGCGAGTCGGCGCTGATCGACGCTGCTCGACGCCAAGTTGACACCCGTCGATGCTGAATCGGCGCTGCCCCACTGATCACCACACGCTAGTCGGCTAGTCGACGCCAGCGCACTCTGAAGACGGAATCGCGAGAGTATGCAAGGCCCACATGAATTGCCGCCAAACCAGACGTCGGGCGCCGCGGATCCAATCCTCTGGCTGCTGGACAAGGCGCAGCGGGACCTCCTCGCCAGAGGTGGTCCGCCCGTGGTGCCGGTGCCGCTACCTTCTCCCTCCAGCCCAGGTGCCGTTTCTCCACCTAGAGGCCTCCCAAATGGGGTCCGATTAGATGGGGCCCGAGGATCGCGCCGCATCGCCGATGCAGCATCGACGATGCATCGGCGACGTCGGCGGTGCCTGAGCGTCGCCAGCGTGAAGAAAATCTGGCTCCACATCGAGAAGCATCGGCGATGCGGCACGATACTCCGACCCATCTACTCGGGCCCGATTTGGGAAGCCTGGACACCAAAGGGCTAACGGCAAGGGGGGTCACCGCTAGGGGGTTCGCCACTTCCTGGAGGAAACGCCACATCCTCCAAACAGTCGGCCCCCAAGAGCATTCCTCGGGGGCGGCGAAGAGGGGGGCGTCCAAAAGGCTTGCGGCATGTGCGCAGCCCAGGGTGGGGGGCGTAAGGGGGGTCAGGGACGTCTAGGGGGGGGGATATCATGGCCCACGCCATGATATCCCCCCCCCTAGACCTCACTCCCCTCTTGGCCGCCCCCGACCAAGGCGGTCACCACGAGGGGGTTTGCCACTTCCTGGAGGAAACGCCATATATCCTCCAAGCAGTCGGCCCCCAAGAACACTCCGTGCCCTTCCCTGAAGGGGCCCAATGACACACAAATAAATACATACAAATAACCGGATTCCCCATATGTTCCCATATTTTCTGGGTTTCTGTCTTCCGCCCTACTTCCTATAGTTTCCCATGTTTTCCTGGGAGTCGACGATGAATCGTGTCTTTGTGTTTTATCCCCTCCCGATTCCCAAACGACCCCGAACGTCCAAAGACCTCTTCCAGCTTCGGTCCTGGGACCCGGACTTGCGGGAGGAGCTGGTGACCGCCTGCGGCAGGCTCGTGTCGCGCAGACCCCAGCGCTGGTTCCTGGCACCGCGGGAAGCGTTCAACCTTGAACGACCAGTAGTTTACCAAAACGTCGGATCGCTCAACATCGATCGATTCCGGGTCGCCGGCGGCGTTCAACCTTGAACGCCGCCGGCGGGGCCGCCACCGGTCGGCACGACGCGAACCTACCGTATAACGTACAGTGGAGACACGTCCA